GGCATTTAGGTTGTTTCCAACTCCTTGCTATTGTAAACAAAGCCGCGATAAACATGGGTATACATATATCTACTTGGATGTCATTTATGATACCACTTCTTTTATGAGGTGGACTACCACTCCCAGATGAGGAAACTGAGTCTTAGAAAGGCCCAGAATCACTTGGACTCCATCTCCAAGCCCGTAGGTGTTGCCAGCAGGGCTGTTTTTATGATGCTTCTTAAACCAGACTCACTACCTTTCTGTCGACCTGGAGTCACAGAAGCCCACGGGCAGCAGACCTGCTCCACAGCGTTCCCACGCCGGCCACATCTGGCTCCCTGGGAGCGGGCCGGGAGATGTGAACTGCCAACTAGGCAAATGACAGCATCAAATCTTATCCCAAGCACCTGGACCTGCCAAACTGCTAACCTTCGAGTAGTTAACCACTGAGACATCAGGGCTTGCTCCACGGTCAGTCAGTCATTGTCGCTGGGAAGGAACCAGCTCATAACACCTCCTCCAGTGGGTCCTCACAGGAGCAGCCCACCCATCTTTCTTCCAAGGCGCAGCAGGTGAACTTGAACCAAAGGCCTTTGTGTTGGCAACTCAACTTCTTTTCCATGAGGCCACCGGTGGTCCCTCTTGCTCCTGCAGTGCTCCCTAAATTGCAGAGCCCTGAGCCTCATGCCTCCTTTTCACCCACATTCTGAGCCCCCCATCTTCCCTGCCGTCTAGGCTCTGCCGAGCTCACCTGAACCTCTGCCCCAGGTTTTGGCTGCTCCTGAGGCTCCCTTACCAGGTGCCTTCCTCCTCCTGGCAGTTGGGAGCTCCCCACTGAGACCCTCACCTGCTCTGCTGGGGTGGTTTCCAACACAATGTCCAGCAGCTCTGGGTCTGTCTCTGGAGACTGAAGCTGCGGATCCAGGCCCGGCCTCCTCTCTGCTGTGGTGCCCACCCACTGTTGGTGGGTGTTTAGCATATTGGTGTCCTGCCCCATCCCCCCCCTCCTACCTGCCAGCCTGGAACTGCCCACTTCTCCTGCCGTTACTATGGCAACCAATCCTCAACCAGTCTCCAAGGCCCCAGGAAAAAGCAGGCCAAGAAGTGGCCGACCAGGGTGGGTGAGGGCAGGGAGGTCAGCAGGATGCTGGGGACTAGTCCAAGCCTGCTAAGTCCCCCGCCCTCATCTACCTGTGTTTCCTCACCTCCCTGTAAGTGTGGTCCTGATGTCCTAAGTCCTCCCTGACACAGGCCTGTTCCTCAATGTCCTCCTGGGCTGCCTCACTGCCCATAGAAATTGAGAAGTTGACCATCACATCCAGAAAGGAAAGAGGCCACGGGCAGAGCAGAGCCTGGATGGGGTCCTAGGGGCTAGGTGTTTTTAGGTGCTGTTGAGTCAAGCGTGACTCAGCAACACTTTGAACTACAGATCTGACTCGTGTCCTGCCCCATCCTCACCGTCTCTGTCATGCTTAAGCCCATTACTGTGTCAGTCCTTCACGTTGAAGGTCATCCCATCTGAAAGGAATTCTGTCTCGTTGAGGGTCTTCCCATCCTGTACTGAAGGGAACAGTATAGCACTTAAATGTCATCCTAGCCACAGTAGAAAGTCTTGCATGGATCTGGGGAGAAATAAGGAGCAAAACTAAAAAAACCTAAGAATGGCCAGGTTTCCTGGTCCACTCGAGGCTGGTGGGATCCCTCCCCCGAGACTATGGCCCCTGGTCACTCTCTGATCCTGAACTAAAACTCATCCCTGTGACTAAACCACAGACAAATCTGTAAGGTGGACTCACTTTTGCAGAGAGCTCAGAACGCAGGACAGAGCAGGAGAGTGTTAACGGAAATGAGAATTACAAGGAGGAAGTGGGAAGAATGTGCTTTGTTGTTGTTGTTGTTGTTCTTAGGTGCCATCGAGTCGAGTACAATTCATAGCTACCCTATGAACAAAAGATCTGAAACTGGTCCTATCCTGCGCCATCCTCACACTTCCTGACACACGAGTCACCATGTCAATCCACGTAGTTGAGAGTCTTCCTCTCTTTCTCTTTTCTCCTCGGCCTTTCTCAACATCATGTCCTCCAAGGAACAGCCCCTCCTAGCAACAGGCCCAGATCCTGGCATCCTGCTGTGTCTTTGTTCTCAGTCTGGCTTCAGCTCACAGAGACCTTACATTGTCTGCTCTTATATCATCTTCATAATCGTTGATATGTTTCATTTCATTGTAACTAATTTCCTGTTCTGTCTCATTGAGTGTTCATCCTTTTCACTGATGTAACTAATGGTGTGTTGGAGGAAAGCACTGACTATCCCATGGATGGACAAAAGAACAGAGGATGCAGCTAGAGTGCTCCTTCGAGGCGAAGATGATCAAGCTTTGTCTCACATACTTCGGGTGTGTTGTTTGTTGTTGTATTATGATGTTGTTGTTATGTGCTTACGACTCATAGCGACCCTATGTACAACAGCCCTAAACACTATTCTATCCTGTGCCAACCTAGCCATCTCAAACACACTCATTCCCACCACTCCACTCACAGAATCGATCCATCTCATCAAGGGTCTTCCTCTCCTGCGCGTCCCTCTACTCTGCCAAACATGATGTCCCTCTCCAAGACGACCCTCCTTGCAACATGACCAGTACATTCCTTTTTCGTCATCAACACCATAATTCAAATGTGTTAATTCTTATGTCTTCCTGTTGTTGTTGTTGTGTGGCATCAAGTTGGAGCCAACGCAAAGATAAGCCTCCAGCAGGTTCTCAGAGGCAGTAGTCACATAGGAAGGGATTGTCCGTCTTTCTCCTGCAGAGCCTCTGGTGGATTTGAACCACGTGCCTTTGGATTAACTGTACACTCCTCACCACTAAGCCACCAGAGCTCCCTATATTCCTAGGCAAGCACTAATCTACCTTATGCCTCTATAGTTTCCTGTTCCGCATGTTTCATATGAAGACAATCAGATCACATGTGATCATTTGGATGTGTCCTCTATCACTTAGGGTGACGTTTCAGAGAGTCATGCAAGATGTCATCACTCCCTCACTCAGTGCCATCAAGTCAGAACCAACTCACCGCCGACTCTCCATTGAGCTTCTGAGGCTGTAAATCAGTCCCTCATGAGGGGGCTGCCCATCTGTCCCCTGTGGAGCTGTGGTAGATCCGAACTTACAGAGGGTCACGGTCATTAACATCTCCCTGCAGACTAGGCTGCCAGGGTGTGCACTATGTATCAATACTTTGTTTTTTTTATGGACAACTGTATCTACTTATTCATTATATGGATTTACTACATTTTATTAATCAATTGATGGACAAAGAGGTTGTTTTCACTTTTAGCTCTTAAGAATAAAGCTGCAGGGGAGCTCTGGTTGCCTAGTGGCAAGGAGCTGCAACTACAATCCCAGAGGCGAATGGTTCAAATCCACCAGATGCTCTGCCGGGGAAGGAGGGACAATCTCCTCCTGTACCAGTCAGATCTGATTTGACGGTACACGCACACAAAAATAATAAAATAAAAAACAATTAAAAAAAGAATAAAGCTGCAATTTTTTAAAAATGAAGAAGAAGGAATTCACATAAGTATTATAACAAAAAGAATCGGTCAACACTGAACCATTTCAGGAAGTGGCACACGACCAATGGGACTAAAGGATGCCGTCAAAGCTTCACCGAAGGCATTGGCAAAAATTAAGGCTCTAGGAATTGATGGTGTATCAGTTGAAGTGTTTCATCAAACAGATGCAGCCCTGGACATGCTCACTCCTTTATGCTAAGAAATCTGTTAGACAGTTCCCTGGTCAGGCAACTGGAATAGATCCATATCTGTGTCCATTCCAGAAACTGATAACCAGTGGAATGTGAAAATTATCAAACAACATAACTAATGTCATATATAAGCAAAATCCTGCTGATGATTGCAGAGAACTGCCAGAAATTCAAGCGGGGTCCTGGAGAGACCAGAGACAAGTTACACCTTTGCGACTGTCAGATGGATCTTGGCTGAAAGTAGCGAATATTAGAAATATGTTTAGTTGTGTTCTGTGAAATATGCAAAGTTACTTGACTGAGTGGATCACAACAAACTACAGGTGACATTGAGAACAGTGAGGGTTCCAGAACAGTTAACTGTGCTCCTGCAGACCTCATGCATAAACCCAGAAGCAAGTGTCTGAACAGAGCAAGGAAATACTCCGTGGTTTAAAATCAGGAAAGGACAAACAACTATGAGATATAATCTCACACCGGCAACAATAGCAAAGTTGACTAGATCAGCAAACAACAAAGACTGGTGAGGTTCTGGAGAGATTGGAGCCCCTTGTTCACTGGTGGTGGGAGTGTCAAATAATGCGACCACTGTGAAAGGCAGTCTGGCACTTTCTCAAAAAGTTATTAATAGAAATATCATTTAACCCAGCACTTTTACTTCTAGGAATCTACCCTAAACAAACCAGAGCGACCACCCAAACAGATGTATGTATGTACACTCGTGTTTACTGCTGTGTTATTCACAACAGCAAAGAGATGGAAACAACCAAAGTGCCCTTCAACAAACGAATGGATAGAAAAATGATGGTATATTCACACAATGGAACACTATGCAGCACTGACAAACAAGGAACTTGTAGAATGTTCCACAAAATGGGTGAGCCTGGAGGACATTATGCTGAGTCAAATACCTCAGTCACAAAAGAAAAAATATTGTACAGATAACACCACTGTTCTAAAACACGACTGATATGAGGGTTTGGGAGGAGAATAGGAAAAGAGTGACTAGCTAATGAACACTGCTTTAGAACAGAAGAAGGAAGGAACTGTTTAAAAGGAATATATGATTAGGTGTTGTATGTATGAAAACAGTCCAGAATACGAGGAGCATAGCAAAGTGGACTCTGGGAGGGGTAGCAGGGGGGATGGAGGAAATTGTGCAACAATGAACAAATAGTAAAAAAAAAAGAGTGAACTGGGGGAGAGGGAAGGGAGGAAAATTTGCAACAATGAATGAATGAGTGAAAATACAACTTTTCTGTAAACTTTCATTAAAATCACAATAAAAATTATAAAAAACATGCAATCAAGTCCATTAATAATAATTGATGACTGGGATGTAAACATTGGGAACAAGGAAGAATAACAGGTAGTCAGAAATTATGAACTTATAATTATGGTGATAGATATGAGGCTGGAGATGGAGTAATTGGTTTCTGTATAATCAATCATTTATTGATTATAAATACCTTTTTTCTTCTTTAAAATTTCTGATTAAAAAAATAAGATCAGGAAAGGTGTGTGTCGTGTCAGAACTATATCTTTTCTCCGTGTCTGTGTTCATTCTGGATCCTGAGCAAATAATTCGAGAAGCTGGACTATATGAAGAAGAATGTGGCTTCAGGATTGGAAGAAGACTCATCAACAACCTGCATTATGCAGATGATACAACTTTGATACAGAAAGTGAAGCACATGTGAAGTACTTGCTGCTGAAGATCAAAGACTCTCGCTGTCAGAATGGATTATACTTCAACAGAAATAAAATTTGAATTCCTCACAGCCGACTCTCTACCAAACACAATGGCCATTTCTAGCAATTGGTCCTTTCTGATGACTTCTCCAAAGCAAGGAGGACTGAGTCTCGCAGCCCTCACTTCACTCGGGTGGTGGTGGGGACAGGAGGGGGGCTAATCAGAGGCCTGTGCTTGGCTCAGTGTCACTACGGTGTGAGCACGATCATTATTACTAGGCCAGGGTGGAGGCCGTGAGAAGTTGTGGAAGTCAGTCTCAGCAATGCCTGGAAGATGTGTTTTTCTCTAACTTTTGGTCCATGGACTCTTGTGTGCTCCCTTGTTGAGTGATTCTGATTCATGGCGACCCTACAGCAGCACAGAGCAGGCTGTCCCACCGGGTTCCTGCGGCTACCATCTTCACAGAGACAGATGGCTCATCTTTCTCCCACAGAGCGGTGGGTGGATTCGAACCACCTACCTCTCAGTCAGAAGCTA